CTGTTCTGTCATTGCACTCACGTTCGGATCCTCCAAATATCCGAAGAACTTACACTTTATTCCAACATTTGTTTACTTGTAATCCAATTCCATCTTCTGACTAAAGTTATCCTTCATCCAACAAGAACACTACAGAATCCCAGACAAACCATGATTGGACCAGTGTTTCTCGTTCTTTCGTAATGTTGATGATGATATTTTTCTACGTATTAATTTTAATTTGGTTGTTCACAAAATCAAACAAAAGAAAGTCTGAAAGGAAGAAAATGCCTGACTTCTTTGAAACATTCGAAATCATATATTTTGCCTATAACCGACCTCAAGTATTTTTCTTAATCACTTCAGCGCAAGCAAGGTGGTAACGCCACAAAGATGCAAGGTTTCACTGATAGTGAAAGAGAAACATGAGACAAATTGGTTGCATTCAGATTTTTAGTGGGGGGGGGAAGCAAGAGACAGTAAGAGAATTCCACAGGTGATAAGTGCGAGAAAAGAAACTATTAGAATAGAACTCACTATTACACACACACACACACACACATATATATATATATATATGAGGGTGTAGGTGTATATATGTATACAAAAACAATAAAAAGTGACTGAATTAAAATCCTAAAATACCAAAGAGATCTAATACAGATATAGCTAACACAAACAAACGCCGAGCCAAACAGACTCTCTTCAAGTTTCTAGTCAGGACGTGATAAACTAGGGTAATATATATATATATATATATATATATATATATATATATATATATATATATATATACACTTTATGGGGAATCTCTGAGGATTTACGATACCAACTTATTCTTAGAGATGTCAAGACATTTTTAATACATAGTTTTGTTTTTCTTTTAATCCAACTGATGATGCCAAAGAGTAGATAAGATTTCTCTGGCGAAATGCGTCTTTGATAAAAAAAAAATTCTCTTTTTCTCATCATCATCATCATAACAAAAATTACGACGAAAATATTTCTAGAAAATATTTCTTGAAAAGACAGATCAGCCCCCTCACGCATTTGGATAGCGATTTAATTCTGCCAAAAATCTGAAAACATAGCGAGAGCACCAAACCAGATTTGTCATTAAATGAGAAAAGACGCAACTACCTCAGCCATGTGGCGGCCTACCTACTTATTTTACAACTCAACTTTCTCTTTAGTACTGTTCCCGTTTTTATTTGCTTTTGTCATTCTTTTTTTCTTTGCTTTGTTCAAATACTTTCTTAAACATCTTTTGTTTGAGTGTATCAAATGTATTTTCTTATTTTTACAGACCTTTACTGAAAAGCTTATTTCATTTACACACCTAAAGACTGTCTATATCATAAATCTATTCTCATTATATATAACGTATATTTATCCTTTGTGCTGTTTTTTTTTTGTTTTGTTTTTCGTTCTATAACGGTGGCTACAAGTTTTAATATTCTGGCAATTCTAAGGCATTATTTGAAACTGGGCCTCAAAGATACTGAAGTAGCGCTCAGGGAATTCGGTGTTTGGAAGTAAATGAACCAATGTCAAACTGTAAAGCCCCAAGTCGATGAAAAGCAGACAACCAGTAGATGTCGATACTTCAAACGTGAGTTACAGGAGAAACCTAACAACAGCAATGGAAAAAATTCAGAAGAGAAGATAACGTATGAAGAGGAAGACATTAACCTCAGAAACATACGGAAGGTCTGAAGCGTTTGGGACATGATATCCAGAAATAGATTATTATTATTATTATTATTATTATTATTATTATTTTTTCTTTATTTTATTTCCTTTGATTTCTGATGTGTACTCATTTCTTTCCGGGTCCCGCCCAGGGACCGAAAGTTAGAAATGGCATCATGACATTTCCACTGGAAAAAAAAATACATAGACAAAGCCCTTCGTAAGGTGTGGGTTGTACTCGTGAGAACAGTTTATTATTATTATTATTATTAATTTATTATTATTATTATTATTATTATTATTATTATTATTATTATTCTCGTCGTCGTCCTCCAACTTTTTCTTTCGCCAATATGACATTCCAATTTAGATTGTTGTAGTCAGAAAGAAAAAAAACTTAGTAGCGAACGTGTCTAAAACAGTTTTAGCAAATTGAATGAGAATTCGTTTACATCCGGGAAGAAATGGTTCTCGTCCTGGATTTGCAGACCTTTTCCTTCCTGTTGCCAAAGTTTTCTCTCTCTGAAATGACAAGTTATTTTGCTCCGGAAAGGCAGCCAGGGGGGGGGAGACTTTGGAGAATTTCTACTTCATCGCAAAAGCGAAAGGATAAATTCCTATATTTTGATTCGTCCTCTAAAGTAAAAGGAATCCATTTTAGATTTTTGTTGTCTCTTTCTTTTTTGTTTCTTTAGTCTTTGTTTTCTTCTCCTTAACTTTTTCTTCATTTTTTTTTTTTTACTTTGCTTTTCTTTTCTTTTTGTTTCTTTTGTTATTTTTTTTGTTTATTTGCATTTCTTTTGTTTCATTTCTTTTGTTTCATTTTCTTTCTTTCTTTTCTATTTTTTTCGCTTCTAATTATCCATTTCTTTCTCTTTCCTCTTTGAATGACCAACCAACATTGCTTTCTAGTTGTTCTCTGCCTTTTAACTACAAACAATGTACGCATCAAGACCCTGGCTATGTGCCTTGTTGTAATTATTCATGACCTAACTTAAGTTTATCGCCTGATTAAAAGTCACTAAATCTTATTTAGTTCGACGTCTAAGCATGTTCTTGCAGAAAGTCTATGGGTCATTCCATAACGATTCAACCAGAATTCTGAGAGTTATCCATGATCACTACCCCAGAATTTGATGAAATGTGTGGTATATCACCCTAGAGAAACGATTATTCCTGAAAGTAGAAACTTTATTTTATTTAAACTTTATTTTAGCCATAGTTCAACACGTTGAGATTAACTTTTATTTTCGTGCCAGGTACCATAGCATGATTTGCCGAATTCAGTACTGTGTATCCTGTGATAATATCTAGCCGAAATTAGGAGCATGCGCAGACACTAATTCAACTACCTGCGCCATTTTTTATGCTGTTTGAGAACGTCTAAAATTCGAGATTTTACCGTGGTGATTCCAGAATTTGATCAACCAGGAATTATTTCACTCTTGTAAACAATATTTTAATATTTATACAAGTCAATTTAATAAATATAATCGTTTTTTTTTTATTTTACTATACCTTGTTTAGTTTTTATGGGTGCTAAAATACTCACAAAAAGTGCCTAATAATTTTCTACATTATTATAGATCTCTAAATCTAAAAATGCATAGAACAAAAGTAAAGAAATATCTCAGGAACAACAATTTTCAGCCAGATATCTTCCCAGAATGCAAAGCGACGGTATTCTGAATTCAGAATATCAGAATCAAATTTCAACTCATTGAAATCAAATATGAAATTTTCAGATTTTGCGGGTGAGAACTGAACTGGTTAGGTAATAGAATTACTATATATATATATATATATATATATATATACAGAGAGAGAGAGAGAGAGAGAGAGATTATTTTAGGATATTACATCAAAAAATGTGAATAACGCTACGCAAATGCAATTATTAACACATCTCATTAGGCCTACATCTAATAACTAATAGACTATACCTTATTTTGTAATAAATATATTAGAATTACATTCGTGTTTTAAAAAAATATTAATTAAACATCAGTGTCTGTCTATATTTCTTAGATGAGGTATTATGTACACTATTTACATTATTCTGACTATTGTCCTCACCTTTGTCGCCTTATTTATTACAACGTTTTGGCCCTTCAGTATCTGTCAATATTTCTTAGATGAGGTATTATGTACACTATTTACATTATTCGGACTATTGTCCTCATCTTTGTCGCCATATTTATTACAATGTTGACGCTCCGGCCTTCTTCTTGAACCCTTTATTTCGCTCACTGGGGTAGATTGGAATGGGGTTTTAGTGGACAATCTCCTTATCTAAATGCCCACTAAAATACGCTATTCTCCATTGGCTTAAAGCGCTCAAGGGTGTTACATTATATATATATATATATATATATATATATATATATATATATATATATATATATGGTGTCCCATTTGTAAATGCAAGTATATTGGATTATAAGAATGATATGGAATACCAAATATATTTATTACATAACTGATATACAAGAGGCCAATATATTATCCCTGAGATGGTCAGCACCACGAAGAGAACATGCATGAGCTCGCTCTCTCATTTCAAACACATATCAGCTGCAATGGTTACGATCTTTCTATGGAATCATTGTCTTAATTCCACAGCTGTGTGGGGCTTTCCCATGTCCTCTCCGTCGTGGTTACCATCTAAGTGATGTAATATACAAGTCTTAGACAATATATTGAACTGTAACATAACTTTCTCTACAGTTGATAGTAGACAACCCGTTTTTTATTTACTACTCAGAAAGATCTAAGGAAATACAAACAAAATCATCTGTAGCACGGATTCTCAACAGGGGTGGATTTTCAGGTGTGAATTGTGACCACAGTAAGTTTCGGAGGGAGGAGAGCAATTATAGAATTTGGCCAATCTCATATGAAGAAGGAATGGCATTCTGACAAATAGTAAAAGAGGTGCATGGAGCAACCAATGTTGAGAACCTCTGATCTACAATAACTATTTATTCAAACTGCCGTTCGCGTTAGGAAGAAAGTAAAAAGTGTTGAATTTCTATGTAAGATCAATCCTCTTCTATGGTAGTGGATGCTGGACAATCTCCTCACAGACGAAGTGAAGACTGGATGTAACGGACCACCTCATAATGAGCTTGATGAGGGAATGGGGTGTGGGAGTCTTGGTAAAGAGACAGAGTTGCTAAGAGTGATGGTTGTGGTGAACAAAGGTCCCCCCGGTTCGTAAGGGTAGGGGAATGAAAAATAAAAAATTCTCTATAATATTTGAATTATTATCAAATATGGAATTTGATAGGGATTCAAATCATCGCACAATCCAGGCCGGAAAAGCTAGTTTAGTTATAGTGAAGAAGTAAAGGGAATGAAAAGGAGGAAAGGAAAGAAAAGAGAGAAATGGAAGGTGGAGAATAAGAAAAGGAAAAGGAAATGGAAGAAGAAGAAGAAGAAGAAGAAGAAGAAGAAGAAGAAGAGGAGGAGGAGAAGAAGAAAAGGGGGAGGAGGATAAGAGGAAAAAGAAGAGGAGGAGGAGGAGGAGGAGAAGAAGAAGAGGGGGAGGAGGATAAGAGGAAAAAGAAGAAGAAGAGGAGGAGGAGGAGGAGAAGAAGAAGTCGCCGCCAAGGGAAACGAAAAGACGAAAAAACAAAGGAAAAGGTAAAAAGAAAAAGCAAATGAAAACAGAGAAGAAAAAGAAAATGAAGAAGTTTATGGAGGTTAAAGGTACAGAAGAAAAAAGCGTCGACGATGAAGGACAATAAAGTAAAGGAGACGAATGTCATGTGAGAAGGAAACGAACGAGGATGTGGAGATAAAAAAGAAAGAGAAAGGATGGTAAAAAAAACGAAAAAGGTAGGAGTCAGTGTCAGAGGCGGTCGAAATAAAGAAGAACAACAAGAAGCAGTAGCCCACGTTTTAGTTACTATTGTGACAACGTTTCGACCCTTACAACCGGCAGCTGAGGTAAAACGGCAAGTTGAGATGATAATAATAAACTTACCCAAGACACGCCTTGGATGAATGAATACCTCTGGCTTTCAATCCAGATATATACAGCGTCCTGGGTAGGACGATAAACTACGCCCAAAAGCAAGGCCTCCGATAATACGAAAAAATAATGTTGCCAGCTATTCAGTTTTGAAAAAATATTACCAGCTATATATTTTTGAGGAAAAAATATTAACGGAAATAGATTTTTGAAAAAAAAAAAGTTGTCGGCATTAAATGACCCATTGAGGTTGATATGCTGTAAAACAAAACAAAATAAATCAAACCAGATATATACAATAATGAATCACTATATAATAATGATGGGATTATGGGTGAATTTATGGTTAATATCGCAGAAAAAGGACTTAGTGGAAAAAGAAGATCAATAACGGAGCAGTGCAAAAAAGAACAACGTGACGCATGCGCAGCGGAATGATATAACAGCAACAAATATGAGGGCAGTAGACTATTCAATAATGTGAATAATATAATTTCTCATCTCAGAAATACAAACAAAACAGAGAATGATTCTGTTGCCCTATTTCCAAGTGGAGTAAATATGGCTGCCAATCACTGATACTTGCATGACGTAAACAACTCTCTTAGCCACGGAGCAAGTCTAAACATAGGTAAACGTTAAGACTAGTTTTGTCTGACACAAAGCCAAGGAGCAAAAGGCAATGTTAGAAATATGTGGTCCCCAAGGAGGAAAGTTCTGCTAGAACTCAAACACAAGCTACAAGTTCCGGCGGAAGACATGCAATTTTAGCCATAGGGTAACCCCCAATCCAAATTTCAAGGAATTCGACCTAACTATCCAAGAAAACTAACGCGTTTGCATGAAATCGTGAGTTAATCTGCTGACATGGAAACCCTTAGTCATTTTCACATAAAAGCTTTTGTTTATTTCGTTCGTCGATTTGCAATTCTTTGATGTTAGGCCACACCAACTAGCATGGTCATTACAACTACTGAATCGTAAAGTTATATGCCGAGTTAACTACTTTCTTGATTTTATTTGACTCACGGGCGATTCCCTCTCTTTGTCGGGATTAAAAACTTCCTGTCTTATGTTGTCAACTGTCCAGTAATTGAGGCAGTAGTGTCGTTCTCACCGACGCCATTAATCGATCCAAGTAAAAACTAAAATGTTGAATAGTGATTTCAGAGCAGATAAAATCTTTCTACCTTAGAGTGAATTTGCTTTCTTTCTCCTGATTCGAATCTTTGCCGTTTAATTAATTTTTTCTCCGACTTATTCACCCTTAGTAAAGCATATTTGGGGTTGTAAGAATAAAGAATAATTTTTTTTTGCGAGAGAATATAGCATTAACAATATTTTGAGAATAACAATATTTTTCCAGATACAAGTCCTACTATTTAACCTATAGCTGGTGGTAGAAAATGGATTCATATGTTTTCCAAAGATAATTGCCCGTAAGTAAATAAAACAAAACCGACATGAACTCGAACTCTGCTCTTCAATGTCTCCTTCTGAGCCGTTATCCATTACACCACCCGCACATCCTAGATATGCACCAGAGAATTATATATAGAAAATAAGCTCAGAACAGGGCTTCTCAGCCATATTTACCCATTACTTGTTTTTGAGACAGACTTTATAGTAAGACTGACCACAGTTTCTCGATTGGATTTAATTCAGGAAATTTCCAGGCCAGACTCTAGTACATTTATTTGCTCACTGGTAAGGCTTGCCAGTGTGTTCGCGTAGCCTAACAATTTTTGTACGCTTCCTTGGAGTAACGCCCATCGCAGGCAATAACGTCCATCGTAGGACAACTAATCGACAGTTGAGACAATAGTGTCTAGGCGTGATGAAAATTTGATGCAATCACAGATAGCGTCATATTTTTCAAGATCAAACAAATTTCATCATACACCCCGAAAATAGATTCATATTACTACACACCAATGACTTAATCTGCTAAAAAAATAGAAATCGATTGCTCCCTGTCACTCCAGTGGGTTTAACACTGACCGTATGGTGAAAGAAAGGAAACAAAAGCAGTTATTTGAATTAATTTGCACAAGGTTATATATATATATAGCTAACAATTTCTTGGTAAGACGTGATTTTATTATTTTCCAGTTTATTGAAATCGAAGCTGGCTGAGAAAGCTGGAAATAAAACTTATTGAAGGATTTAGATTAAAATTATACCGGGTCACTCTGCGAGTTATAATAGTACCATATATTCCAGTATTATCTGTCGCATGGGTCATCGGCCATTAATCTGGTGACACCCAACAGGATTAAAGCATGGATTAACCCACTTGTAGCCTTAACTCAGGGGTGAACAAACTTTTCAGTGCAAAGAACATTCAAAAATTCACAATTTTATTGTGCCGCATAATATATTAACCCAAAATAATTAATATTTAAAATAGACAAAAAAGGCTTTTAATGAAAAAATGCAATTAATTTTTATTAATTAATATTTCAATTTACTGTAGAAGATTTATTTTATATTTATTTTAAATATATTTTATATTTATTTTAAAAGACAACGTAACTCATTTTAAAGTACTTTAAAGAAAAAAATATTAATAAGTATTTTTAAGTTGAAGATTTACATGAAACATTTGAAAGACAAAATAACCTGGTTTTAAGCAAAAAATATTTTTATTAATTAATATTATAAAGTAGAAAACATATTTATTTGAAAAACAAATTAACAATAATAATAGAAAAATTCTTACTAATATTTTAAAGTAGAAATTTCAAATAAATCACAAATCAGGTAATTTCTGATGGAAACATTCTATTGAAATTTACTATATTTGTATTTACCTAAATCAATTCTACAGATATAAAACCCTTAAAAAATTACTTATGATCAAACCGCTTACTGTTTGGTTATTTCTATCATCCATAGGACTTTAAAGACATGGTAGATGTATAATATGTGGTTCATAAAAATTTTGTTGATTCGTTACTACATTATGTGGTGCTGTAAAATCTTTGTCTTATAACATTTGATAACCTCTCCTGATTTGGAAACACTGATGTCATATGCCAGCACTTGTCTGAAAAAGAAAAAAAAGAAACAAAAAAATACTGCGTATTTAATTGAATCTAGGAATACCTGTGCATAAGTTTGCATTTTTTGAGCGTGCATTTATACTTTTTATTAATATTTGTGTGCTTTCATATTTACAGTAGGAATCGGTGGGGCAAACATTTTTTAAATGCATTCGAAGGCGAATTGAATGAGGAACTGAAGTCTTTCAGTTTCTCCAATTCACGGAGTTGTCTCCCCCTGGCTTCTATTCATAGCGATTCTGAGAGCAAATATCAACATATGATTCATCAACTTATTCTTTCATAAAATCCTTGCAATAGATGAACGGCGTGCTGCCAGCATTTGTCCTGCCTTAATCCGGATTATTACATTGACAGGGCATTTGAATACGAAGCGATAAATTCTACTATAAATGGTCACTTCGTATTTTTTGCAAGTCAATCAAAAAAGACGGGCAGTTTTTAGATGTATGACTTCATTTTGTTTTTTCTTTCCTCTCACTCACGTCTTCTTTCTTTCTTTCTTTCTGTCTTTCTTTCTTTCTTTCTTTCTTTCTTTTTCTTTTTCTTTTTCATGTCCTCTCTCTCTTGTTCTTTTACATCATTCTTTATCACTGTTCCTTCCGTGTCTCTCATTCTCTGTTGCTTATATTTTTCCATTACCCGCCTCCACCCTTTTTATTCTTTTGCCGTCGGGCTTTTATTCTTTCTTTCGACAAACAACTTGCTTTCTTTGTTTACCCCCCCGCCCCACACACACCCATGCACACAGACACCCATGCACACAGGCATACACAGGTGCGCTCGAGCACACACTCATACACACACACACATATGTGTGTGTATACTTGCGTGTGTCGGCACATGCGCATCTGTATCTGTGTATATACAAGTAAGCGTGTGTATACGTATGCGTCGTAGATGCTCTTGCGCGTGGGTGCCTGGATATGAGCATGCGCGTCTATGCGTCTTATTACACACATCTCTCTCTTTCTATCTCTCTCTCTCTCTCTCTCTCTATATATATATATATATATATATATAACAAAAACGTATTTAGAAGCAGCAACCTGATCCATTTGAACAATTCGTAGCAATCCGATTATTTCTATTAGCATTGCGTGACCGGGTCGCTAGAAATTCATCTTGATTTTCAGCAGAATTTTACTATAAGTTGCATGGGCTTTAAATCTATTCTTAAAACGATGGCTCAAAACTATTAAAATTATTCTTATAACGATGGATCAAATTTCGTATGGTTCAAAGGATATTTACGATATTTTCTCAAATATCTTTCCATTCTAACTCAAACGCAACACGTCAAGAGATTCTAGCTCCATTCAACAATACCAACGAAATAAGTTACATTTTTCTTTGATTTCCTTATCGTAAACATATCCTTAACTACCGATTGGGTATACTTAGGATGGCTGCTGAGCAGTTTTCCGCCTGACTAAGATTTAATTCGCAAATAAATACCGCTGTTTGATCATTTGGGCCGGCCAAGAGCTTTTCAGCTCTAACTGTTATTTCTAGTCTTGAAGCTTGGGTGTAGTGTAGTTTCTGTCTTTTTTTTTAACCTCGTGACCTGTACAGTCGTAGGGGCACCATATATACTGCAGTCACAGCAGAAATGGTGTTTCTTGTGCAAGATAGTCTGACGGAGCCCGTCCCTCTCCAGGTCGGTTTTGAATTAAGACTAGACCGATTCAGACATAACCGGTTTTCACCCAGGCTTATAGAACCCAGTCTGCCCTGCTATTTACCTGCAAGAAGGGAGAGAAGAAGGGTATGAGCACGTAAATGACTGGAATTCGAACACGGCTCTCCGATTCATCAATCCGAGACGCTATCCATTACTCCACTGTTTCTGTCTTACCATCTTAAAAATAGTTATGGCTCCATCTTTGTGGACACCTCGAGGCGGTGTAATGGATAACAAGCTTGTCTCACTAGAACAGTTACGACTGAGTATTGAGTTCGATTCTCATTGGGTACCTCCTACCTTGTGCCACATCTAAGCTACCCTTGGAAAATCACTATTGCTCCATCTTTGAAATATAGAAAATTGTGTGTCTGTCATGGTCTTGTGAATATTATTTTCAACCCTACAAATCCTTGCCCACAGATGAAATATTGTAAGCCTCTGACTCTATCAATATTTCCATCTAAAATAAGATCAAACGAACTCCATTCTTTAGTTATACCAATTCAAACGTTTACTGCTAAACTCCACCGGCCACTTATGAAGGATTGAATCATTCAAATTCCTTTCGGATTTTATTGTTAAGAAGGAACTTTCAGTGAGGCAGTGTCTTCCAAAATACCGCTATTTTGTGTAATGTTAACCTTTTTTAAGTTAGGGTCAACCGTTATCCACTTTCAACAACCCCATTCAATAAGCCTCTACGTTAAGTGGCTATTGAGTGAACAAGTGTAAAAAAATGATGTAGGCGATTGAAATTGATCAGTTATTCTTAATTACACGGGAAAGTTTACCTTTATTTTAAGTGTCTTTGTTTAGCTTTGCTTGAAGTTGTTGTTGGCACCAGGCATTGAGAGATGATTATTAGGCTCGTCTCCCTGTCGTGTTGAATTTGTGTATCATTGGTTTCCCTCTTATCATTACACTGTCATTAATAAGGCTAAGCGTAGTAAATACCTACAATTGTTTACACATCGATGAACAAAGAGACAAAACCAAACGGAATCAAATTAGGAAACTATATATTCGTTCTAAACCACAAGAATTTCTCGCTAATTTTCTTTTACTGGTTGCCTTTCTGTTAATAGATTCTAAATGTACGAGTCTCGTAGTTCAAATTTAAGGAAAATGGAAAA